CTAAATAAATACCATAAAAATAGCAATTAATATAAATTAAAATCAACACAACATTCGAACTAATAAAAAGGCATATTAATAAAACTAGGCTATATTGTACAAAATCCACCCGTGGTGTCACGAAATTGCACCAAATCCCCCATACTTTTAAAACTGCGTCAAACTCCCTCGTAGTTTCATAAACTTTGCGTCTAACCCCCTCAGTGGTCCTTATTTAACGGTATTTGACCTAAATACGCTCAAATTGCGAATAAATTTTAGAATCTCAATTTATAAACCCTAAAATTACAATATATTTATTTTTTATATATTTACCCTAAAAAAATAGTAAATATACTCAAAAATAGTTATTTTTCTCAAGTTTTAATAATTTATTTTTACTATTTTTTAGGCTGAATATATAAAAAATAAATATATTTGTAATTTTAGGGGTTTAGAAATTGAGATTCTAATATTTATTCACAGTTTGAGCGCATTTACATCAAATACAGTTAAACAAGGACTGTTGAGGGGGTTAGACGCAAAGTTTATAAAACTACGAGAGAGTTTGACGCAATTTTAAAAATATGGGAATTTGGTGCAATTTCATGAAACCACATGTGAATTTTATGCAATTTAACCATAAAACTATATAACTAAAAATATATTTATTATACTTGATAACTTTGTTTACGTGAGAGATTTTTGGAATGATTTTATTATTTCAATTTTTGTTTTTCCAAAAAAAGAAAAAATCGAATCAAAATATCTATTTTTATTTATTATATTATAGTAAAAATAATTTTACATTCAAAATATTACATTAATATATATTTATATTTCATTAAATAACTATTTTAATTCAAAACTTTATTAGTTAAAATTAAAATCTAAAATAAAAATCTCACAAGTATACATACAATTATATTCCATTATTATTATTATTATTATTATTATCATTATTATAAATTATAGTTGTTGTTAGTTATTGGCAAAATAATAATTTCATTTTAAAAGTACGTTTGTTTCTTTAACAAAAAGATTTTAAACATATTTCTTAAAAAAAAATAAAATTAATATAATATACACATTTATTATTTTTATATTATCGACACAAGTGCTTATACTTGTACCAAACGCTTTTCTTCATACCAAAATATAAAACAAGCACAATAATAAACGTCTATTTCCACTTACGCCACTATATCATCCTTTATATGATAGAATAATATTTTAAGCGTCGGTATTTTAGATAATATTCCATGTAAAGAATAATTGTAGACACTAAAAATATATGTCTAAAATCAATTAAATATCATGTATTTTGGAAGAAAATAAAATTCCAATAAAATAAATATATGGTATTTAATTATGCACACATGTTAATTTTTGTACAATAAATATCAACCATTAATGCAAAAATCTGTTTAAAATGAAAGATATCGTACAAATATTACGTGCATAAATAGAGCCATAATAAACTTGGCAGCAAAATAAATTAATCTTGTCAATAAAGGAAGTATATAAATTAATATCTTCCAAACAAGGCAATGATATAAAGATCTTGTCAATAAATGAAGTATATAAATTAATATCTTCCAAAAATGGCAATAATATAAAGATTTTGGCGAGAAAGGAAGGTGCACAATCAAATCCGTCAAGAATGAAAAACGGCATCCGATGGAAAAGGAAAGATTATAAAATCTTTCCATCCACGTTGCACCATCCGAAAAGGAAGCCAAGGCCGCCCTCCCCTATAAATAGGAGTCATGGCCAGTTCATTTGACACACCGAAGTTGCATCGAGGATTCAAGCAAAAAAGTAAGTTTCTTTAGATCCTCTGCAATGTTCTTCATTGTTCTTCGTGTCCTTCGAAGTGTTTTTTGTCGAAAAGTCACCGATGTGGACAAATGATCCAATATTGGTTGGTGAATCGATGAAGTTAACGTTCTTCGTCGTATGTCCGAGCCGGAGGAAGGATCAAAGCTCTCAAAGCCATCGAGGAATCCATCAAAGCCAAGGAAGAGCCTCCAAAGTTGCTCCCAAAGCTTCAAGATGTTCGTCGCGTTCTTCATAAAAGGCGCAAACCAGGCCCTCTTCGATCCAAAAGTCAAAGGGACACGCCGCCAAAAGCGTTATGGAGAACCAAATCCACCTTCTCAAAGATCAAAGCTGCGGATCGTTTAAAGAGGACATCAAATCCAAAGATGACGATCGAATCGCCCACGCGGAGACCAAAGCCCTCCAAAAGCGGCAAAGACAAATCAAAGATCAAAGCTGCGGATCGTCCAAAGAAGACGTCAAATCCAAAGCTGAGGATCAAATCGTCCACGGGGAGACCGAAGCTCTCCAAAAGGCGGAAAAGGCAAACCAAAGATCAAAGTTGTGGATCGTCTAAAGAAGACATCAAATCCAAAGTCGACGATCGAATCGCCCACGCGGAGACCAAAGCTCTCCAAAAGCGGCAAAGACAAATCAAAGATCAAAGCTGCAGATCGTCCAAAGAAGACATCAAATCCAAAGTTGAGGATCAAATTGCCCACGCGGAGACCGAAGCTCTCCAAAAGGCAGAAAAGGCAAACCAAAGATCAAAGTTGCGGATCGTCTAAAGAAGACATCAAATCCAAAACCGATGATCGAATCGCCTACGCGGAGACCAAAGTCCTCCAAAAGCGGCAAAGGCAAAGCAAATGTCAAAGTCGCGGATCGTCTAAAGAAGACAACAAATCCAAAGACGATGATCAAATCGCCAAAACGGAGACCAAAGTCCTCCAAAAGCGGCAAAGCCAAAACAAATGTCAAAGTCGCGGATCGTCCAAAGAAGACAACAAATTCAAAGACGATGATCAAATCACCAACGCGGAGACCAAACCTTCAAAAGCGGCAAAGCCAAATAAAGATCAAAGCCTCGGATCGTCTAAAAAAAAGACATCAAATCCAATGCTCCGATCAAATCGCCCGCACGGAGACCAAAACCCTCCAAAAGCCGGCAAAGTCAAACTGAAGACTAAACCTCTTTGGATCAAAGAAGCCATCGAAAATCAAGTTGGAAAATAAATCGACCCGGAAGGAGAATCAAACGACCCATTTAGAGAATATGACCGCTTTAAATTCAAATCAAATATAATTTATACAAATTTTATGTTTATTAAAAATAACACAATTTTTTGTCCACAATAATAAACGTCAATTGCCGGGCCAGGGGCTTGAATTATAAACAACATGAAGCACATGACAAACATTGTGCCATCACATTAATATATACCACTATTTGATATATTATCATATTTTAATCAATCAATTATCTTATAGATAGTCTGGTTGATGGCTTTCGTTATAGTTCTGATTGTGCTAATTTGTGCTTTTGAAATAAGAGTTATGTACTATTTATTTATTTTTTAAAGGATATTTTAAAAAGAGATGTATAATGCTCTACACAAATATTTTATAAAATATAAATATTTTTCCGGTCTCATAACTAGGTATTTGTTTGTTTTCAACACGTAGTTTTAGAAATATTAGTATTATATTGGAATGTAACAGCAACAAAGTAAAAATGACTAAAATCAGGGACCAAGGTGGGGGCAAGAGTGGGAGTTGATTGTAAAGGTAATTATTAAAAAAATGAATATTTTGTTACGTGACAAACAAAGATCTACTTAAACCTGAAAATTAATATGAGTTGATTTAGATGTAACTATAATCCACGTTATAAAAATATCATGTTAGAACGTTAATAGCATCATTCAGAAAAAATAATATTTTAATTAATCTATTCCATATTTTATTTATTCAGCACAATAAAAACAAGGGCAACATCACTAGCTAATTAGCATTAATTATTAAATTACTTTTATTACTATATCGCATCTGGTAATCATCGCTATTTTTAATTTAGAGTACCAATTTTTTTTTTTAATTTTTTAATATTTTATATAATTTTTCTTCTTTTATTTATTAAATATTATTTTCTATATAGGTCAAAATTATATAGCTATTTTTTTTTTATTGTTCTATTAAGTTTATATACAATTTTATTGTTGTAAATAATTTATTTACTAGCAATTTATTATATTTACTTTAATTAACAAATGATAATAAATTTATCTTCACGTTTTTTATTTATTCAATTACTTTTTAATAAATTTCTTATAATATATCTCTTTGCGTTCTACTTATTATATTTTAATATTAAAGTATAGTTCTTTTTTAATTTTCGTATCCAACTAAATATATATAATTTACGAGTATGAGGAAGTACAATTTATAAAATTATTTTAAATAAAATAAAATAAAGATAAAACTACGGGGTGTGTTTGTTTCGTGTTCTGGTTTGAAGAAATTTTTTTGATATGATATATAGAAAATTGCATATGGTTCAGCTATTTTGTCTCATTTAGTTTAGACACGGAGTTTTAAGTATTGTGTAATTAATAAGTACTTAAGAAATGTATTAGTGAATATAATTATAATTTAATAAAAATAATTATAAATTGAGATTAAAATGACTAAATAGTTTCATTAAAATAAAAAATTATAAATTATGAAATTTAAAATGTGATTAAAATGTATAATTATATTTCCAAAGAAAAGAAATCAAAAATTATATGAGACAGACAAAAATAGAAAGAATGGACAAATTAAATAAAACGAAAGAAGTAAGTTTTTGAAAAAATATGTTAAAAAAATTTTGTTAAAGAAACAAACTTGAGGTTGTGTTCTTTTGTGGTATAACTACAGGTTTTTTTTTAAAAAAAATTATCAAATCAAACAATTACTTTTCTTTTTTTATATTATACTAAAAAATTATTTTACATTCAAAATATCACATAAATATCACTTTATATGGAATCAAACTACTGTTAAAATTCAACTTTTTACTATTTATAAATTCAAATCCAAAAATCCAGAACTCACAAACAACCACACCCTCGATGTTTTAAGAAAAAAAAAGGTTTATGGTATGAACACAATATATATACTTATACACTATATATATATATATATATACTCGGTATCCTTTTACAAAAATTTAAAAATTCAACACAAAATGGTACAGTACATCAAATTAACAAACGCTCCGTGGTACATCTAAATAAACCGCCCCAAAAATTCAGAAAATGATTCCATATCTTCTTTCCTAGAAAGAGTAGGTTGGAGAGAAGATAAGAGAATGGGGGAGAGGGAGGCGAAGTTTCTGGAGCCATGGCACCGTCTGGAGGACAAGGTAGTGTTGGTCACTGGCGCCTCCGCCGGATTAGGTCGAGAGTTCTGTTTAGACTTGTCTAAGGCCGGCTGCCGAGTCATAGCGGCGGCGCGGAGGACCGACAAACTGCGATCCCTATGCGACGAGATAAACAGCGGCGGCGCCGTCGTGGATCGGCGTAGAGCAGTCGCCGTCGAACTCGACGTGAGCGCTAACGGTGCGGCGATTGAGGCTTCTGTACGGAAGGCTTGGGACGCGTTCGGCAGAATTGATGCTTTGGTTAATAATGCTGGTGTTCGAGGTAAAACTCAAACTCAAACTCAAACCGAAGAGGCTTTCAAAAACTATATATCAAAAATTAAAAAAATAATAATAAAATTGAGGAAATTACTTTCTGTACGTATCGGAAAATCGTTTATTTGAAGTAGTGGTAGTAGCTTGCTTGTGGATCGGGTGTTTTTTTCAATTTTTTTTTTTCTTTTTAATTTTATTTTAAAAATAAATTAAATTGATATAAATATAAATAGTATGTATTTTTTTACAAGGTGAAAGAAACAAAATAAGATGTGGTGATGTAAATATGGAAGTGATGAGAAATTATTGTAGAGTTCTTTTTTTTACTGTGGATGGTTTTACCTTACCACAAATGGTTGTAGAAAACCAATGATTTGAGTGAGGAGACGTGCGCACCAAAATTTCCATGTATATATATATATATATATATATATTTGACTTTCTAACTACTTTCTACCTACCGATAACTACTTTCTACCTACCGATGTTTCTTTAGCATAATTTTTTTAAATTTTATTATTTAGATTATGTGTTTCTTTAAAAAAAAATATGTCATTTTTTTTTAAACAAAACATCCCATTAAATATTATTTTTATATCAAAATCAAATCAAATTTTTTTCAAATTCATCAAAAGAAACACACGCAAAAGGTCATGTGATCGGGGTTATATATATAGATATATATATATATGTCTACGTATGTGTGTGCAGGTCGAGTGCACACTCCATGGAATCTGTCGGAGAAAGAGTGGGATGAAATAGTGGGGACGAATATGACTGGTACTTGGTTGGTTTCTAAGCATGTTTGTATGCTTATGCGTGAGGCTAAACGGGCCGGGTCTATTATCAATATCTCTTCTACTTCCGGTGTGGGCCGTGGGTTTCGACTCGGAGGCCTTGCTTATGTCAGTAGCAAGGGTTCTGTTAACTCAATGACTAAGGTATTGATTGATGTAATATGGTAAAATATATTTAGAAGCAAACATATTATATTTATGATAGTTATTTTATTTAAAATATTTATACGATTTTTGTTTTATTTAGAAGATTTATATATATATATATATATCACTGTAAATATATCCGTATTTTTATAATTAAAATAGATAATTTGAGTTTTATATTCAAACATATTATTTGCTTTCTCAACTTTGTTTATTTATTTTGATTACAATCTTGATTGGGCATAACTTTTCTCAACATTCCAGAGTACTCTAGAAAAATCTAAGTTTCGTTTGGATTGACAATTCTAGAAAGATCCAAGTTCCGTTTGGATTAGCACATTTTAATTTTTGTGTCTTGAAAAACACTTTATACTTTCTTTGTCATTTAAATTTATTCAATTTATTTTTTGTTATCATTTAAATTTATTTACATTTTTTTTAAGTAAAAAATTGTACTTTTTTTCTGCATTTTTTTTATCTAAAAAAATTACTTTTACTTATTTTTTAAAAAATTGCATGCCTAGTCAAATGCACATATTTTTTTTTTATGACAGATGAAATATTTATAAGGTGAAGACTCGTAACCACTATTCTTCCAATGCTCTTTGAGTAAACCAATATTTGTTTGTGTTAGGTTATCTTCTCAAATAAATCAAAATATTTTTAAATTAAAATAATTAATTTATTATATTTTTTACTTAAATTAAAATTTTAAATATAATTGAATTTTAGTTTTAATTATTATATTATACTTAAATCAAAAGTTATAATTATAATTGAAATATCAAATTTAAAAATATAAATTTTTAATTATAATAATAATTTGAAATAATTAAATCAATATAATTTATAAAATTTTAAAATAAATTGTAGGTTACAATTAATTACATTCGATATAAATTTATTTTTAATTTCATAGTTTTCTTAAATTAAAATTTTAAAGTAGAAATTACTTTTTATTTAGATGATTTAAAATTTTAAATATAATTAATAAAAATTTAAAATAAATTATAGAAAAATACAATTATATTAATAAGATATCATATGCTAATTTTTTCAGTTTAAAAATATTTTTAGTTTTATAATTTTCAAACTATTTTTTTTTAAGGTAATTCAAATTGCTCCTAGAACCTTTGATTAAATTTATGTTTATCCTTGTTAAAATATTTTAAATATTTAATTTTAGATTTCGTAGATTTAGATTTGATCCAATCTATATATTACATTGCTTATATTTGAGTCTATTGAGTCTGTTTTATATTGTCTCTGTATATATAGGCTCCTTATTTTGATGATGAATAAGACAATCTCATTATTTTCCTGTCAAAATTTCTAACATAGTATTAGAGCCTATTTTTCTCTTGCCGTAGATATATAGCCTACCAACCTGCGTTTCTCCGGGTATATTCAACCTGGGATGTACCAAGATGTCTCCAAATTTTAAAATTTTTACTATAGTTTCTAGCTCTTTCTTTTTCTGAGTTTGATTTTGTCTTGAATCTTGATTTTTTCTACGATTGAAGTCATGTCTGTGCATTTGTCTGCGATTCGTCTGTTGCGTTTTTCCAAAGCCATGTTTTTTATTGCAATGAGAGTCCCGTTATTTTCGACTTTGTGGAGAGTACTCCCGTCGTTTTTTGCTCCAATAGAGAAGTTATGTCGTTTTCGGCTCCAGTAGAGAGTCACGTAATTTCGACTTTAATTCAGTTGAGAGCATTGTTTCTGGCTTTGACATGGTAGAGCAGCGACGACAATGACAAACAAGCAACTGTTGTTTTTATTTGCGTCTTTTGCGTTTGGATTCAACTTTCTTATCAAACTCAAGTTGGTTTCTATTATACCACTTGACTTTAAGGGGAGATATTGAGATATTTTAGATTTTCAATTTTAGATTTAGTAGATTTATATTTAGATTTGATCTAATCCATATATTAAATTACTTATATTTGAATCTATTGAGTCTGTTTTATATTGTCTATATATAGGCTCCTTACATAAGACAATCTCATTATTTTCTCCCAAAGTTTCTAAAAATCCTGAAATAAATAGACTAAGATCTGACCCATCCATTACGGTATTATTGTGTATAAATATGATTACACCCTTCATTAGTAAACCACAAAGTATCGGCAATAATACAAAGAATTCTTGAAATTTTGTGTGTGTTCTTGACGTCTTTATTGTGTCTGTGTTAGCTTAGCAAGACTGAATTAGTAAGGTTCTTGAAAACATAATAAAATTTCTACGTTGACAAAAAAGTGTTCGAAGAAAAAACAATATAGGCATCAAAGCTAAGTTCGAACAAAATATCAAACAACAACAATAGTGTCAATGTGCCTGAGTTTAAACCAAAATAGAACTAGAGGATTGCGAGAGATAAGTCTCTCAATTTCATGGGATCCTTTGTGAACATGTTGGGTAAGGTAGAGGTGATCGTAGGTAATCGTAACAAGCTTAACGAGATGGAACAAAGAATTTTCCAACTCAAGAAGAATGAGTTGTGAATAGAGATATTGTCCTCGATCTATGTCAACTTAGAGGCAAGATCGAGCAATGTATGAACTTATCAAAGCATTATGGGCTAAGGTTGTCATGCTAAGGGAGTTGTTTATAACTAACAACCTTGTACTTTTAGAGTGCAAGATCAAATTGCAAGAACGGAGAATGATAAGGTTGCGAAATCTTCAAATATCAAAAAAGCACTGATTGTTAGGAGAAAGATGATATTTGAGTTAAGGGGGATGAGGCCAACTGAGATTGCCTTGGCAGCTCAAGGAGAAACATCACATGTCCGAAAAATCATGCAAAAGAATAAAAAACTTTAGTTGTAGATGACTTATCTATGATATAAAGCAATATTTTGAAGATATAGTGCCTTTAGAGATGAGGCTCGAGTCTATTAAGAAATAGGTTACCTGGTGGAGCTACCCAAGACACTATTCCAACTCCATCCAGTGTTCCATGTGAGTTGTTAAAGTCGTACCACATCGATATCCATAAGTAAGTCTAAATGTGTTGATGAGAGCTCAACCAAGTGTAGACAATATAAGATAAAATTGAAGAGGAAATCATGGATGATAGAGTGGTGTGCCATTAAAACCACCACCATCACAATGTACTTAATCAAATGGCGAGGATTACCCGAGTCTAAGACAAGTTGGGAGCTAGCCAAAATGTTAAGGCAATTTGAGGATATCAGGTTGTAGTTTGAGGCATTAAGGGCATGCTTAACTCAAGTGAATGAACTCTCCAGAAGAATTTAAAACCCCTTGGCTAAGTTAATGTATGTCTATTAGTTATAACTTAGTTGGGAAAATTGCAAAAAAATATCTTGTACATATACTTAAGTATCACTTTTTTTTTTTAATTGTCATTCTAGTAAGATATATTTTGCACGTTTCATAATTTTGCGACTTCAATATATTGATTATATGTGAATTTTTATTTTAGTTGCAGTGACTTACACTTCATGGGCACTATAGTAAAATATATTTTGTATATATTACAACAAAATACATCTTGTATGTGTCACAATTTTGTTAAAATATCATATACATATTTTATAGTACTCAATATTGTGCCATGTGCATTCAATGGCAGAAGCGCTTGGATTAAGCAAGCTGTGAAACTCACGCACGGTCAATATACCAAAATAACAAAATTGTGATACTTGAAGAATATATTTTGCTATAGTGATAATTAAAAGACAAGAGTGATATTTAGGCATATGTACATGATAATTTTTGCAATTTTTCCTAACTTAGTTTGTGTTTATGTGACACCCTGGCCCGCAAGCCACGCAAAGTCGGGCGTGTCGGGATCGTAGAGTGTTGACGGGCCTAACAATTGAAGATTCTTGGGATGCAACGTGGATGTTGCATTCTTAAGTTGGGGGAGGATGTAATACCCCCGGAATTAGACCGGTGCTAGGTCAACTCCCGTGGATGAGCCGGTGTCAGACTATCCAGGATTGAATATAGGTTAAATGCATTGAATAGGTTACTCATGTCAACAATGTGCGCATTATTTTTTTCGGAAGACTTACCGAAAGAAGAGGAATTTGAGGATGGGTGACCCCTCGAGAAGTTTCTCAGGGTGCGCATGAGTGAGGACAGAAGTACGCTAGAATGACTCGTGTTGACCTATAGAGCCAGTCTACGATCTTGACATGCCCACGCTGAAAGGACTCGTGTTGACCTATAGAGCCGGTCTACGATCCTAACACGTCCGACTTTGCGTGGCTTGCAGGTCGGGGTGTCGCGGTTTATCTTGTAATAAATTGGCTAAGGCCTAACCCGTTTTAAGGGATGGTTGAGTATAAATAGGGATACACCACGCCAAGTATTTAAATCAGTACAACAAGTTTATGAAATTTTGTGTTCTTGAGTTCCTTTATCATGTTTGTGCTAGCGTAGAGTGAATTAGCAAGGTCTTTGAAGGATTCGAGGACTTACTAGACCGACAAGAAAGTGTTCAAAAAGAAACGATCCGACCTATTACGCATGGAACTTGTATCTCTTTTAATTTGACTCACTCTATTTCTTATGGTTGTAGTTTCAGGTTCTAGTCAACGGTACATTTCTCATCTCAACTGATTGAAAAAGATTGAATATTTTTCCTATTTCCGTTGAACTTTCTTGCTCGCCTTAGATCTTTTGATCGAGTCAAAATTTTAGATGTGTGGGAATCAAATGTGAATGAGATAAAATGAAGCATTTTCTAGCTAGCTTAAAGGTGAGATAGAAATTCAATATGAAGTTGAGACATACATTTTTTAATAATAATAAATAATAATTTATGGCATACACACAGAAGGATCATTCATGATTTTCCTAAATTTCTAAATGTATGCTCAATGTGTGGAAATGTCATAACAGACAATTAATAACACAACTACAGGATTGTTCCATTTCAATCTGTTACTAAAGAAGTTTAATTTATTGCTTATAATCTTGATTTATTAATGATTGTTTGTTTCATGTTGCCATTTCCAGGTGATGGCTCAGGAATTGGGACCTGACAAAATTCGAGTCAACTCCATTTCACCAAGTCTCTTCAAATCTGAGATAACCAAAGATTTAGTAGAGAAAGCATGGCTTAAAAATGTGGTTCGCAAAATCGTCCCTCTGAGAGTTCTTGGGACAACAGATCCTGCATTGACATCCCTCCTTAGGTACTTGATTCACGACTCTTCCGAGTATGTCACCGGCAACATCTTTATTGTCGACTCAGGAGACACTTTGGTAGGTACCCCTATATTTTCATCTCTTTAAATTTTCTAAGTATGGATGGTTTCTGGTGAAACATTAGTAATTAAACAACTTCTTGGAGCAAGAAAATGAATATCGGACTTATTTGGTGTATTGAATAATACATACTTGAATATGATCTTGGGGGAGATTATTTATAGTTGTGTCTTGCCTGTATTATGATTTATTTGAAGATTTGTTGGTTATGGTTTCAACAATATTTTAGGATCGTATGCATTTTTAGAGTTGCAGTAAAATGGTTTCAACATATGAAAATTCTTGGTGTTTAAGCAAGATGAACAATTGAAATAAACAAGTTAAACAATAGGGTGTGTTTGTTTGGAGTTTAGATTTTGAGTTGAGATTTGAATAGTAAAAATTTTGAATTTGAATAGTTGTACGATGTGTTATAATAAATAGGTGTTGATGTGATGTTTTGAATGTAAAATTAATTTTTAGTATAATATAAATTTGATTTGACGTGGGGAGGGAGGAATGAGATGAATAGTGTATTTAAAATAATAATTTGGTTCCATATGCATAATAATAATTTTTCTTCATCTTAATCGAAAATATTCTTTTTATTAGTTTCATCTATCCATTAAAATATATTTATTTTTTATTATATTAAAATTAATCATAAATAATACCAAAAAATCATTTATTTTTACATAACTTATAAATATATCATTATACATATACATAATAATAATAATAATAATAATAATAATAATAATAAAAAGATAAGATAAAAATATCAAAATTATATTATACACTTCTACAAACTAATAAAATAATATTATTATTTAATCTATTATAAAAATTCTCTTTAGAAATATTTTGGAGTCATGTACAAGATGAGAGCAATATATTAGAAAATACTTGACCGATCTTCCTAATTCAGTTGACCAAAATGCTTTTGTATCAATTCATAGCAGCATCTTCTTTTGTCAATAAAATTTTTGGTTTTTTTGCATAACATTTTTTTTTAAATTCGTTTTATTATAATTTTGATTGTTATATGATCTCTGAAATTACAATTATCTTCTTTATGACAGAAATTTCTTAATTTTTTAAATGATATTTCGAATAGTATATTATTATATTTTATATAACATATATATTGTTAAATATTTAAATGATATTCGTTCAGTCTAATTAGAAAGTATACATATTTCTATTTTGGGACGTCCAATTATAAAGTAAATATTTCATTAAATACCTCACTTTTTTTCTACAAATACTCCTATTTTACATCACATCATTATTTTTACACCAAAAATCAATGACAAAAATGTCATTACACTACTTTTAACTACTCACTGTAATTAAAAGAAAATATATTGTTGGAAACATACTGTTTGAAAAAACAAAATATATTTGCTATTATGTGTACTTAAGTATGATTAATATTTGTAATTTTATTTTGTTTACATCCAAATTTTCTCTTTCTATCCTTATAAACAAAAATTTTTAAAAAGAATGTTAAGGAAAAAAAGAACTAAGGCCAAAAAAAAAAAAAAAAAATCAAAAGAATTATCAAAATTTTACTATTAAAAAAACAAGTAAACAAACAAATACTTTTTGTTGGAGGTTGTAAACAATCAACAAACTCAAAAATATGGGAAGCTGTAGTGTGTTGAATAAATTTACTCGGTAGAGTACTCACAACACAATATTTTTATTAATATGATTGTGAAATGACAATATATAATACTCCTTCCGTCCCTACTCCCTTCTCATGTCCACTTTTCATTTACGTCTGTCCCACGTATTTTATCACTTTCTTTTTTTGGAAAAGAATTATACACTTTAATCTTATTTTTAAAAAATTAATTTATAATTTTTTAAATTTTAATTATACTAATTACTTATTTTAATCTTAATCTATAATTATTTTTGTTATACTATAATTATTTTTACTAATATATTTTAAATTATTTACTAATTCATCAAATATGAAATGGGTTGGTGCGCCGTAGCCTGTATAGATGAAGAAAGGCGGGTAAGAGCACCCGAGAGAGGCTTGTGATTCTAACACCCTTAGGAGATGTATATTCATATAACATACTCCATTCACCCTACTTACTTACTGTCCATGTCTTTCTATATTTTATGTTACTTTTTTTTTTTTTAAAGAAAATGATTATACATATAATATTATTTTACAATTTTAAATTTATAAAAATTTTAATTTTAATTAAACTAATAAGTTATGTTAATCTTCGTATATAATTATTTGTATTATAAATAATTATTTTTTAATATATTTTTTATTATTTATTTATTATACCATCTTAAATTTTTGTGACTAAGGTAACCCTGAATATGATAAACGAGACGAATGAAGTATTATTTTATAAATATGAATTGATAGCACATATTTTAATTTACCACAATAATATCACAATTATTAAATAAAGATTGTAATACTCTCGCCGTCTATCAAAATTATTCACACTTTTTTTAGTCAGATAAATTTACATATTATTAATTTTGACAAAATAAAAAATTTAATATTTAATTATTATCCTATATTTAACACCATTATTTTTATTACATTTTTTTCTTATTTACTTTAATTTTTAATTCTATTTCAGTAATACTAATAGTAATAAGCTCGTATATCATTTCCGATTTTGCACAAACAAGACGCATTAATTAATTGGGAAGAGGATCAGGCTCGGCGTCAATAAACACCGAATCTCGGCCAGTCGCTGCAGCGGTGAAGGCCAATCGGAATCGAGTGCTCTCGGTCGATGCTCTGCAGGTATGGTGGTGACAATCGACACTGGTTGACGGCGAGGAGGACGATTTCGCAGCAGCATATTCAGGGAAAATGGAGAACACCGTTTTCGTTTTTTATCCACTATTGCGATGGATTTGGATCCTGCCAGTTCGATTGCAAATTTCTCTCGGAAATTGTGCGAGGAAATTTCAGGAACCGTGCAAATATTTGCGATGGCTAAAACCGCTCGATCGTCAAAAAGATACTCGGTATCAGCCTTTTTTCTATACTTTGCTTTGTTTCTTTCAGTTACTGGAATGCAATTTTGAATTTATGATATGTTTCCTGCTTATTCTGCACTAAAAGGACACTGTGTGATCCGTAATGCCCGTCCCTGCACTGCAACAGTTGCAAAATTTTGTTGCATCCATATAGAATCAATGAGAGAGTAAGAATTTTTCGAATCATTATTGCGGTAGTAACATTCAATACAGACATTTTGAGGTTCACAATATTCTGTGCTGTTCTCTGCAAATGAATCATTATTACTATGCTGCCATGCCTTGTGATTTCTTCTACTTCCATTAATTATGCAATACAAGTGTTGCATAGATTGCTTTGTATCTCATTATTTACTGAGGCAGGGTCAAACTGAAGTCTATGTTTACAGAGTCAGATTCTGTTCATTGTGACCAGATTGATTGTGCAAATGTGCTTGTAGTTCTGATATGAACTTATCCATCGATTCATGTTTCGCACGTTGACTAGAGCTGAATTCATGTTTTTAGTCTCTTTCACTTTTGTTAATATGGTTTGGATAAGGGAATGCTAATTGCAGTGCAATAATGTGCAATGAATTAGTTTTATTCTTAATGAGCTGTATTTTACTAAGAAACATTATTCGAGCAATGAGGGATAACACAGAAGCCTTGTCTGATTAACCAAAGTAAGGTATAAAGTTGAAAAGAGAATACAAAGCATGGATCAAGATTCAACCAGAAAGGGTATGTCGAAAAAGTTTGGAATCCTATTCTAATCACAACAACTTAAGCTACATTCATTTTTATAGAAAACCCCCAATGTTTCTCAATCATCTCTGTCAAGGTTTGGAATCTTTTGTCATCTGTTCTAAAATCTTCCTCTGCAATGTTATCTCTGCAGACACAGCAGCATTTCATTCCGCCGGCCTTTCAATCTGCAGCAGCCGACTTCTCCGAATCCATCACATTGCCGGCACTAGTGATTCTACATCAGCATTGTTTAGATCCTACCCGCCCCGATGAAATGGTACTCATTACTCGCTGCCCCTGAGTTCGATCTCTCGGGCTTCTTCCCATTTTCCCTCTGGTTCGTTCTTCTGCTACACCCCTTCTCAAATGGTAATGTCGGCGTCTACTTTAACTCTCTGTATCGATTAGTGTTTAACCTTAATGAGCTTTTACAACTTCTTCGACTTTGGCAGTTGCATTGGTGCACTCGTTCACGGGAACATATGGTGTGAACTACGGCAGGATAGCCGACAACATCCCTCCACCGGAGAGCGTAGTGACCCTTCTAAAGGCAGCCAAGATCCGGAACATTCGAATATACGATGCAGACCATGCTGTTCTGAAGGCCTTTAAGGGCTCCGGTATCCAAGTCATTGTCGGTCTAGGGAACGAGTACTTGCGAGACATCAGCACGAACCAGGACCGCGCGATCGGATGGGTAAAAGAGAATGTGCAGCCATTTCACCCCGGGACTCTCATAACCGGCGTCGCCGTCGGCAATGAGATTCTCGGAGGGAGCGACGCAGAGCTGTGGGAGGTCCTCGTCCCAGCCGTGAAAAATGTCTACGATGCCCTCAGCCGCCTCCATCTCAACGGCACTGTCGAGGTGTCAAGCCCGCATTCCGAGGCTGTTTTCGCCGCGACATTCCCACCATCCGCCGGAGTGTTCAAGGAGAGCATAATGCCGTACATGAGGCCTCTTCTGCAGTTCTTTTCGCAGATCGGGACGCCGTTCTACATCAATGCGTACCCGTTCCTCGCCTACAAGAGCGACCCGTCGCACATCGATTTGAACTACGCCCTCTTCCAGGGAAACGCGGGGATCGACGACCCGAAAACGAAGCTGCATTACGACAACATGTTTGAGGCTCAGATAGATGCGGCGTATGCAGCGCTGGAGAAGGCCGGTTTCGATAAGATGGAAGTGATTGTTTCGGAGACGGGGTGGGCATCGAAAGGCGATCCCGGCGAAGCCGCGGCTAACGTTAAAAACGCGCAGACTTATAATCGAAACCTGCGGAAGAGGCTGCTGAAGAAGAAGGGGACTCCTTACCGGCCGAAGACAGTTGCTAAGGCATACGTGTTCGCGCTGTTTAACGAGAATTTGAAGCCCGGGCCGACTTCGGAGAGGAACTTCGGATTGTTCAAGGCGGACGGAAGCGTCGCGTACTATGTCGGTTTCACTGGTCTCGTGCCGAGCTCGGGTTCTTCAATTGCGAAGGTATTCATAGCACAGCTAAGTTTGGTTAAATCAGTACCGTATTGATAACACAGTCCTATATAGTAAACAACTCGTATTAGATATAAATTTACACTACACATATAAAATAGAAGTGACAGTGATTATGATGATCAGGTGATGGAGCAAGGGTGGCTCTCTGTTGGTGTAATGGCGGGAGCAGTTGTGGTTCTTCTTCATGTATTCTTCTGAACTATTATTGCTTGCAGTTAAGATAGTTGGTAAATTCCTTCATTCTTTCAGTATTAAATATTTCTTGCTTTTTCCATATATATAATTAAAAGTTTTTAAAACATGTATTTAAATATTCATAAAGTATATTTTATATAGATATTAAAGATTTAAATTTTATATCATAAAAATAAAATATTTATTTATTTCATAATTGATATAAATAATTATATAAAAAAATTTGCATGTATATATAAATATATTTGTATATTATATAAAATTTAAACAACAAATTTTAAATGATATACTTTCTGTAAATGTCACATTTATATTGTTTGGACATTTATTTTGAATATTAATTATCATTTTAAAATTTAATACAGTAGTGTCTTATAATACATTATTGAGATGATGATGATGATGATAGTAATAATAATAATAATAATAAGACCAAAAAACTTATGATATAAAAAACTCTAACATCAAATACAATCTAGGATATTCAACAACATTTTACTGGCGATTTATAAAAAATATATATATATATATATATAGTAGAAACAAAATCTTAACTAAGACAAAAAATATCAACAATACCGTCACCATCAAATCGTCAACCAAGATCTATAATCAATCTATTCTAATTTTACGATCTTTGTTGAATATCTCTCTTCAATAATTTTAAAACTTTCCAAATTTTTATATATTTACATACAATGTATTTTACTATTTTGAATATATAATATTTCAAATAAATAAGAGATAGTAAAAGAAAATATATTTAAATTATATTGATTTGAAATTCCAACTAAAAGTAAAACAAACAAACAAAAACTTTTAAAAGAAAGTAGTATGTGACTGTACGGTTGATAGGAATTTTTTGTAGGGTATAATGCATTACATACAAAATACCGCGTATGTAACACTAATATGTTTTTTAAAAATCAAATATTCAATTTACAATATTATTTTTTATATCAATCGCATGTTTATTCATATTAAATATAAAAAGTAGTTAAACCTAAATATACTATATTAACACGACCATATTTTAAATTATAAACAATAAATTTCGTTTTAACAAGAGTATATATTGTACATACCTAAATCAAATAGGTGAAATTAATTAATGAAAAAATTGGTTAGAGGCATAAATTAATATAGTGAAATAAAAAAAAAATTAAAAAAATAAATAAGAAGAACCAATGGGATAGAAAATGTATATATATATTGTAAATAAAATCCAATTTTTGTACCATATATTTTGAAATCAAAATATAACTGTATATTATTATAGAAATAAAAATAATTTCAGAATTTTGTGTTTGTTTTTATTTTTTAAGTTATTATTTTTTTATATTAAATATGAAGAATTATGTCGATTTTTGTGTTAAATAATTGATTGTTTGTAAATGTGTAGAGAGTATATATATTGTGTATAATTATGTATACATATTATACTTTTTAATATTATTCATCAGAACTTGTGTTTAGAAAAAAATAATGGGATAAACAAAGCCAATTCATTTTTACATTTAATTTCAATTGATTTTTAAAATTTTCAATTAATCTCCTACGGTCCTACTATAGATTTTATCATTTTAATATATATCTGAAAATATACATTAAATTGAATGAATAATAACATAATTAGCAAATTAATAATCAAATTACTTTCAAGAATTAATTTATTTTTTTTTTTAAAAAAAAACATAGTAAAATATACCAATATAATTATATATACTGAGTTTTTTATATAAAATAATGCTCTATTTATTTCAATTTAAATTACTCATTTTATTATTTTTATATTTTTTACTCAAAAGTGTATATTTCACATTTTAGTAGGAGTAATTATATATTGATATTTAAATATCTTTAATTTTTATATAAATTAAATATATTTATTACACATATAATTATATATAAAGCTAAATGATAAAATAAAATTGTCAAAATATCTTACATATTTTCATTAATTTATAAACTTACTACAGAACTATAAAAGAGTACCTTAGAGCAGAACCGGTGGAATAGAATTTAATATATAATCTATATTATTCTATCGGAAAAATTTAAGTTAACAAATAAAAAAAAAAAAATATTTCCTCCAACTCAAGGTATCATTTTGTTTTTTTAGTTGATTAAAAATAATACTTTATCCTCTAAGGGTCATATTTACATTTTTCGTGATTTTACTTAACATTAAAAATATCTTTATAATTTTTTTTACAAATGTCCTTCTATTAGTATTATAATACATTAATAGAAGTATTTTTTCAATTTTTTCATAATTTGTACTAGGTTTTCATCTGTCCCACTTAATTTGTCAATTCTTTATATTTTCGTATCTCCCACAATTTATTTTTTCATTTTTTTTAGAAATATATTTATATACTTTAATCGCATTTTAAAATTTATAATTTTTTTATTTAATTAAACTATTTAGTCATATTAATCTATAATTATTTTTATTAAATCATATTTATTTTTAGTAATATATTTTTTAATTATTTATTAATTACTCAATATCTAAAACTCTGTGTAACCTAAAATAGACAATTTAAATGGGACAGGGAGAAAATAATATTTTATATTAAATAAATATTTTTCTAAAACATAATAGTATTTGATATTCGAATATAATTACTATTACTATAACTAAAAATTGATATTTTTACAGAAGTGTGATTGAAAATAATTTATTATTGTAAAAGTACAAAGATATACTACTATATTGTACTCCCTCTGTCCCACATAATTTGTCCCTATTTTTTATTTTCGTCCGTCCCACATAATTTGTCCATTCATTTTTTTGGAAATATAATTATACACTTTAATCTCATTTTAAATGTTAAATTTTTTAATTTTTTAATTTTAATTAAACTATTTAATTATCTTAATATTAATCCACAATTATTTTTATTATACGATAATTATTTTTACTAATATACTTTTTAATTACTTACTAATCACATCTTACCTAAATTTTCGTATCTACGATAATAGACCCATAATACATGGGACGGGGGAATAAATTTTATAAATAAATAAAATGAATTATGAATTGAATATAGAATAAGTTGGTGCCGGCTGGTTAGCTTTATGCTGTCCGATCACACCATTATGAAAAATGATAATACTAATAATAAAAAATAAAAAAATAATAATAATAATTACACAATTATGAAAAATTATAATACTAATAATACTAAATAAAAATAAAAATAAAAATAAATATAAAATCAGCGCAGAGAAGGTTGAATACTATCTTCTTGGATTCACATATATTACTGTAATTGGTTGAGCGACTGCCACGTCATCTAATGAAAAACAAGACAACGACACCTCTTTGTACTCTCATCGCCTTTCATTATCAACCATCTATTAATTCTCTCTAGAAAGCCATACCTATAGATTTATACACATTTATATGGTAACATTTTATATTTTTTATTGAAATTTTCTTATTAAAAAATATAATAATTAATAATATATTCTTATTTAAAATATTTTTAAATTAAAAATATATTATTTTTTATTTAAATATTATATGTAATCTATCTAATTATATTATATAAAATACTTATTTTGTTTTATTTTTAAATAATTAAAATTATTAATGGTTTGTTTGTTTGTGAAAATAAACTAATACATTCCCCCAAAAATTAATATATTACATATGCTCATTATTTTTATATAACTTATATAATTTTATATACTTTACATTAAACACAATATCACTTTAAATCATTTAACAAAACAAATAAATCATTAGTGTTTTGTTTAGTTGTAGTTTGAAATAAAATACAGGATTACCTTGAAATTATTATTTAAACAGTACTCCTTCCGTCACAATACAATAGTCTTATTTACCATTTTTGGCCGTCCCGAAACAATAGTCTCATTTCCATAAATAACCATATCAACATAAAATTATCTTTATTTTTTCATTATTATTACATAATTGCTACAATTTTTTACACTTATATACTTACAAGGGCAAAAAAATTATTTATCCATATTTTTTAGCAACTACTAATATAATATCAATATTTCTTAAATCCCGTGTCCAATATAATAAGACTATACTTTTGGAACGGAGGGAATATTTTAATTTGATATTTTGTAAAAATATATATTTATTAAAAATTATATTAATTAAATAATTCTATTTTTTCATTTGAAATTAAAAATAAAAAAAAAAACAAACAAACAAATAAACAGAACACACTCTAAAATACTTTCAAAATATACATACACGCCGGTATGATTGAATGATTTTATATCGTCTAATAAGGGATGACTATGCGGTGTGAAGTTGACTCGTTAATGTAAAATTATGGTTCAAATTCAATTATTTTGTCAAATTTAATTTGCGAATGATTAGATTTTGTCGAAGTTTACCTAAAACACATTCGACGAATAACAACAATGGTTTCTCACATTATCAAAATAAATAAATAAAAATAATTTTATGCCAATTCAAAATTATATTATAGAATTCATGTGATATTTTAAATTTATTCTAATTTTCTTTATCAATGGTCAAATGAGTATTTGTAGTAGGTTAGAAATTGGATTTGACATTTTGAATTTTTTTTGCAAAACATGCAATGTAATATAAATAAATTTTGTATATTATAATTTTTAAATATAATTATTTTATATAATATATTAATTATAAAGGTAATTATTTAGTTAAATGGTTTTGAAAAAAAAATAATATTATACTCTCCATGTTATTTAAATTTATTTTAATTTTTTTTTTTACAATCTACATTTATAGTCATTTTTTTAGTGACAAAATATCATTTTTTTTTATTTTTTATCGTAAAAAAATTATTTTTATCTATTATTCTTAAAATTCATACTCAATCAAATTAGTATAATTCTACATAACCGAGAAAATAATAAATAATGTTATAATAAAAAAATATCTATAAACAAAACAAGCATGTTTTTTATTATTATTATTATTATTATTATTATTATTATTATTATTATTATTATATATTTTTTCATGATTTAATAATAAATTTCTGTAAATTACTCTAGTATCATTCTATTCCATCTTACATCCTTATTGATTAAGAAAAATAATTAGATAAACTTAAATCACTCCTTGTACATCTATCACATAGAGTTTGTTTAGGTATTAAATTATTGTTATAGTTGTTTTACTATTGTATTTTTAGATTTAATATTTTAAAATATTTGTGTGGTTGTGTTTTCTCACTTTGGATATTTTACTTTTTGTCGTGTAGATTAAGTGGTAAGCTATTACAAGAGTGTATTACTAATATATCATTAAAAGTATAATTTGATAAATGGTAAAAATAATAAATAAATGATACATAATAATAATAATAATAATATTTTGATAAGTTTTAGTAAATATAATGCTAATTGTTATTGTATAGGATGATATATAAATTTTAAAAATAAATATATTAATTGTCCATAATCTAAATATATATATATATATATATATATATTCCCCGTTGATCCAGCTGAAATTTTGTGTATTCATAGTTTCATTTTTCATTAAAAAAAATCATATTATAATATATACATATCATTTATTTAATTTGTTAATTTTTAATATTGTTTTAAAATTAGAACATTAAATTAAATGGAGTATTTTTTATTTTTATTTTTTTTAAAAAAAATCACATTCAATATTATTTAATTTTATTTTTTATAATTTCTAAAATACAACTGAACAAATAATTTAAAGATTGATTCTGTATTTTAATTTAGAAATATAATTTGAATAGTATTTTAAATATTACTATATTTTGTGAAAGTAATAGTAGTAAAATCATTGAAATCAAATTCAATTACTCACAAATAATATTTATAATAAAATAAATAAATATTAATGTAATATGCCCGTTACGAAATATTCTAAAATTTACAAAGAAACAGCGGGAAAAATAAAAATAAAAATAAAATTTCATGAAAAATGATTTGATGATGTTAGAATGAACTCTGATCTCACTTGAAATCTTCTTGGCAACTAAATATATATATATATATATATTGTATATTTTTATTATATGTGCTAATTGTAATCGACTCAATCAACATGAGATCCATGGCTATAAAGATATTAGTGTGTTTACTTGTTGAGGTTATTTTTTTATTGAATATGTTCGGGACTTTCGTTTGTGAATAAATTTAAGGTGTATTTTTTTGATGAGTTTGAAAAAAAATTGGTTTAGATTTGATATAAAAATAATGTTTGATAAAATATTTTGTGAGAGAAAAAAATATATTTTTTTCGAGAAACGAACAGAGTCTACATAATAAAATTTGAAAAAACTATGCTAAAGAAACATACTCTTATGATATACTCCCTTCGTCCCAAAAGTATAGTCTTATTGTGTTGGACACGAGATTTAAGGAATATTGATATTATGTTGGTGGTCGGTAAAAAGTATGGATAAATGACTTCTTTGTCTTGTGAGTATATTAATGTAAAAAGTAGTGACTATTGTGTAATAATAATGAAAAAATAAAATAGTTTTATAGTGATATAGTTATTTATGAAAATTAGACTATTATTTTAGAACGGACAAAAATAGTAAATAAGAGTATTGTATTGGACAGCGGAAATATTTTTCTAAAAATTCAAATTTATAAGTGTCAGACCATTTTGTGAATCCGATTAGAGACTCAAATTCCTCCAACGTAATAGAATGTCTTATTTAAAAAATATATATTATAATAAAAAAATCAAATAATTATAAAGTGGAATAATATATATCACCTACTAAACATCTTCAGGTAATTATAAAATATTTTATATTAGACTAACACAAATAATTATTATTTGGTTTTTTTATCAGAATATTTAAATTATTATTTTTTTTGAAATAATGTACGGTGTACCGGTACACATCAAAATAATAAAATAAAAAAATAAAATAAATATACAATACTTTTTATTACAAAACACAGTATTATACTGCTAAAAAAAAATCTTGTATTTATACAATACAAATAATTAATAATAATTCTTTAGCAGATTTCCTAATCCCAACAACTTTCGAGATTCACTTTTCAAACTAAAAAGGGAAGTCGAAATCGAAATTAGTTAATTAATTACTTTCAAGAGAAAAAAACATCCATTTACGAGTCGTCGATGTTGGGGTCCACGCCGACTCTGTTGCCGTTCTCCGCCCTGTCGTCGTCGTCGTCGGCGCCGTGGATCTGATCGAGCACCAGGACCACTCCCATGGCGAACGCCACGTCGAAGCCTGGCTTAAGAGAGAGGACGAAGACGTCCTTTCCGAGCACGATATGGTGGGAGGCGTCCACTTTCCGGCGAATCTCAGCCACCGCTTCCTTCTCCGCGTTGTAAATGGTGCAGTTACGGCACCCGAACGAGCCTTCTATGTTGTACTCCTGGCTTGGATTGGTGTACACTTCAACCGACACGTTTGACCGTCCGATTATCGACGATCTACGCACGCTGAAGAGCGGTTTCTCCCCCTCGCTTCCCTCGCCGACGAAGCCTTCCCATCTCTGGTGAAGACTCGGCCTCTGAATCACCAAATTGGAACAGAGAAATCAGTAAATTGACTCAATCAGTTACCAATTTGTGCGCAATTGCAAAATTAGAGGCGAAAAATCGCCATAAAATTCTCGAGAAATCGACAAGGCGAGGAGTTTACCTTGCGGCGGACGGTGAGGATGCACCGACCGGAGGCGTCCATGAGAACGACTTCTCCAGTATCGCCGGCGTCTGGACCGTACAAATCGACGCGGAAGACGAGTTCACCTTTCGAATCATAAGCTCTAAATCCGTCGCCGGCGAAGAAGAGGCAAGTTTTTCTCACCGTCAGATGCACTTCCTCTTCGTACACATATCCTTCTTCCACAATCGCTCCAATCTTCATGGATTCACTTCCGTTCCGTCTCCTACTCGAAGTCCTGAGCAGAAATCGTTACGAAGATGAGAAGAGTATGAAACTGCGCGCGAGAGAGAGCTTCGAGTGGATGGAGTCGAAAGACGACGGCGATCTTCGTGTGAGACGCAAATGGAGAGGGAACACAAGATAAAAGGGTGGATTTTGTTTAGGGTTTGTCTGAGCGCTCCGTGGACTTCAACGCCCAGAGAATCTGCACCGTTAGATGTTGTAGATTTTGATCTCAATAATTCTTCTGGTATTCATTGGAAGAAAATGCAAGAAAAATTGGGAGTCGCTGCTCCTGATTGATCTAAACCGTCAATCTTGTGGGCCCGGTACGATTTACGCATAATGAACGGATTGGATTATGTCAGGATTTCAGCTCCTCGGAACTGGAACAGCGTATTTATACTCACTTCTGTGAAACGGACCCTACCTATCAAATAAAATAAAAATAAAAATTAATGTCTTTCATTTTTCAACGTGTTTGATAGTATTCTCGTTCTTATTTTATACTACTACTAAACAATTTATAAAGTAACATTATTTTTTTTAATTCAAAAAGATATATAATAAATAATTTAGCTTTTTTTTTTTTTTTTTAATAGTTCATCCTTTCATATATTTGCAAAATTTGGAGTAAATTTTTTCTGTATTTTAAAATTGTATGATACCCTTTATAATTTAAAAAATATTGAATAAAATCATATTTTCATCAGACAAAAAATGTAAAAAGAGTTTCATATAATGTTTTTTAAAATACGAGGAAAAGCATGCAATTTTTAGAAAAATTTAATTATTACATATAGTTTGTTTTCAAATAATTTCAGAATAAGAACAAGACTGTTAGAAAATTATTAAATGATTATAAAAAATAAATTCGATAATCAAAATAATTTTATTGAAAAAAATAAAATATAGAAAGAAGTTTAACAATGGATTCGTTTATCATTCATATAAAAGGTTCTATGAACACAATACGGTGAGTAAGTAAACAACAAATTAACAAGATAATACTAATGACAAATAATAAGGATAAACTTTCAAAATGCATGTCTCACTCTAAGTTGAAAGAAACCCATCACATTCATGAGAAGCAACCATATTCTCCATAGCAAAACTTATTTTCATTTGATCCGCTAAGCACATTAAATCAAAATAAATAACATATGTTTGACAATACATAATAATATAATATATAATATATATATTCCGACAACACGTGATAGAATTCTATATAGTACGGTATATTATTAAATTTAACACAACAAACATATTTATATAATGTAATATAATATATAAATTGCACAACTAATACTTTTATATGATACAGTATTACGATGTTTGTCTTGCATTTATGATACAGACTATCTTGAGGTTAAAGTACATATTATATTGTATCAAATCAGTACGGTATTAATTTGACCAAATCAGTATTTTAATTGCCTCTGTAATAACATTCTATTTAATAACATTAAAATGACCATAATATATACTATCTATACTGACCGTTTATAAAATTAAATGATACATGACTGTCTCGTAAGGGACGATTTGGTGATATGGAGGTTGGACGTGTGACTGTGAGGTCATGAGTTCAAACTCTCGACGCCTTCGGTCACCTGCTATACATGGTTCGCCTAGTGTGACTTATCTGTCGGATAAAGTTGAAGATTAGTGGTGAGTGAATTTAAAAGCATGTTTTAGAAAGAGAAAAATTATTCGTTGATTATTCGATACATCACTTCCTAACATAGGCCATAAGTTTTTGCACACCTTTCAAGGTTAAAATTATGAAATGAAAATAGATCCATTTTTATGGAAATGATACGATAATTAAATGAATACAAAAATCTAACAAGAAGTATATAAAATTATTTTCTTCATTGAATTATTGCATCTGTGATGTATTTATTTGATAACTTGAATAATTACATGCAGTCTTACTTCTCTATATATTCTTCTATCTTTTGTGTTATGCAAGTTCAATAAAATATTAAGAACAACAAACTATTGTTCAATACAATTTATTGAACATATAAAATATATCTGTTTATTGAAGTGAGATAAATAAAAAAGAAAAAAATGAGTTAATTCAATATAATATAATATTTGAGAAAAAAAATAAAATTGAAAGTATAATGTCAATCGAAATTCAACAAGTAACCAAATAGACCATTGTGAAAAACTGTATTTAAGAGACGGTCGATAAGTGAATTATATTGAAAATAATTGTATATTTCATTTGTCAATATGGTTTGTATATATATATATATATATATATATGCATGCGTTGTGGGTTTCGTTATTCATGTTAATGTATAATTAACTATATAAAATAAAAACACTCATAAAAGAAAATTTATGTCCACAATAGTCGTCTGTTCACTACACAAATACCTGAAATAGTTGATTGGCATTAGATAAAATTATGTATAATCTAGTTTTTGTATAACATAAGTTTTAAATTTTTTTACTTCTTTTATCAAATTAAGAAGTTGAATTATGTATTTTATTTGCTAGAATATTTTCTCAAATTATTTTAAGATATAACAACTATCACACATATATAAAACCATTGACACCGAGGTGTATTTAGCAGAGAGAAATGAGAATAGAGAAATTGAAATATATCTTCATTTATCTTGTTTGATTAAAACAAAGAATTAGAATATAAATTATTTCTTGTTTTCTAGTTTTATTTATCTCTCGTATAGAAGAGAAATGAAATTGAGAGAGTACAATATATGTTTATTTATTATTTATTTTATATTTTTTAGATTTAAATTTTACGATTTAATTTGTATTTATTTGTGATTTTTTATTTTTCCTATTCTTGTTAAGTATTTATGATGTTTATATTATTCAAATCTCATATAGATTTCATATCTAAATTATTACTAAAATAAAGGCAAAATAACCAAAAATTCTCATGTGGTTTTCTGAATTTACTGAAAATCCCCCGTAGTTTTAAAATTTCAGAAAACCTATTTATAGTTTCTAAAATGTTGCACACTCTCTCCTATCTCTAAATTTGACTAACGGACGCTAAATTTTATTATATTTGACTGTTATACCCTTATTTATATATTTTTTAATTTAGTTCTCTTTCTTCTTTTCTTTTCTTTCTTCTTCTCTTCTCCCCAACAACACCAGATTCTTTCATCTTCTTCTTCCCTAAATTCTTCTTCACACACAAAGAGGTTTTTCCCCAATTTTTTTTTTCTTCTCCCCAATTCTTTTTCACGCCACCGCACCCCCACCGGTTCTTTCTTTTCTTTTTTTTTTTCCCAAATTTTTTTTCTTTCTTCTTCATCTCCAATTCTTCTTTGAAGAATGAAGAATTGGAAAATAACAACAAGAGAAATAAGGCTGGAGCAGGGTAGAAGGAAGGAAGAAGAGAAACAAAAGAAAGAAGAGAAATGGAAAAAGAAAAGAAAGAATAAGTAGAAGGGGTTGGACCAGTTTTTTTTTCTTGTTATTTTTTTCAATTTTTTTTCTTCTTTCTCTCTTTTTTCCCAATTTTTTTTTTTTTTATTTTTCCTCATCAATTCTTCTTCTGCAACTAGCAGCACCAAATTCTTTCTCTTCTTAGATTAATTTCAAATCTGGATGTTAAATTGATTTTTAATATTTTTGAATTTTGTAAAACATAAGAAGAAATCGATAGTGAGCAATAAATTTGGGATCGATTTCAAATTTGGTTGTATTTAGTGGATTTAAAATTAAAAAAATAAATTGAGATTACATTTTAAAAGTACGGAAAAGAAGAAGAATAAGGAAGAAGCTGCTGTAAAAAGTAGTAATAAGGGTATTTTAATAATTTTATATGAAAATATATCAGTTTATGGATAAAAAATCGCATAGTAGGCGTGTGACATACAACCACCGTTAAATCCTAACGGGGATTTTTTGCAATATTTTGGAAATCACAAGAAAATTTTTTGGAGTTTTAAAACCACGAAGGGTTTTAAGCAAATTCGGAAAACTACATGGGGTTTTTTTGCTATTTTACCTAAAATAAATGATCAAACTAAAAATTTAATCAAAAAAATACAATAATATTTTTCTTATCCAGTTTATCATTTTTAGTTATGGAATTTTTTTTTTCAACTAGCAATATAATCGTATTCTCTTTCTAAGTTTTATATATACATATATATATATATATTTTTACATTTATTAACTGAATTATCTATTTTACCAAATAAAATAATCAATTTTGATTATTTACAATTTCATGATCTGTTGTCATTTGTCATCGGTTACATTATTTGTACCAAACGTTTCCTAATAGTAATTGAGTGTATACAAAGATCATGCAACGTGTGGACATTAGCCAAATTGTTTTCTACCAAAAAGTTGTAATTATTGATCTCACCAAAATAAAATAAAATAAAATAAAATGATTAAAACAAATAATTGTGATAGCTTTTTCAATTTTATTATTATTAGGTTTGTATATATGTGCGATCGGAACAATATTGTGACCATAATAATTAGATTGTGATGGCCAATGGGGACGATATATTTATACGAATCTATCGACATGAAATTAATAATTATGACTAGAAAAAAAAAAATTATTATTATTATTATTATTATGTAGCAAAATTAATTATTGCATATATTTCAAATTTAGCAACGCGTGAAGAGAAAAATAAGAAAGGTTAGGTAAAGAATTCACCACCGATAAATGAGGAGAAAAAGGTTGACACCGACAAGCTCAATATACGAGAAAAATGAATAAATGTGATACATACAGGGGTGAGCATTCGAATTTTCGGTTAGGATTTTGTCAAATCCGAACCGATCTGAAAATTCAAAAATTTTGAAAAAATCAATCTGAACCGAACGGAAATAACCGAAATCCGAAAATTCGTAATCCGAACTAAAAAATCCGAACCAAACCGAAAAATCTAAAATTCTAAATATTTTTATTATTATTTTTTTAATTTTTAAATATCTTTTATATTTTATTATTATTTTATAATATTAATTATATATATAATATATAAAATTAAATATATTAAAATGTAATTAATAAATTTGAGTTTTTTATATTAAAATATAATATTTTCTAATAAAATATTAAATATGTATAATAAAAAAATATATTAAAATGTTATATTTAGGATTTCGGATTGATTCGGATTTTAAATATACCGATCCGATCCGATCTGATCCGAAAATTCGAAATTTATTAAAAATTTCAATCCGATCCAATTCGAAAATCCGAAAAATTCAAACCAAATTCTAAATTTCAGTTTGATTCGTATTGAATTTTCGGATTTCGAATATTTTGCTGATCTCCAGATACATGTAAGTAAAATCATTAAACATTGTAGCAGTAGTAGTTATTTTGTACAGTTGAAATTAGATAAAGTAGGTGTAATATTTAGTGATATGATTAAAAAAAATCAAACTTAATAAATGTCGTCCCATCAGTAGTAGTGTCCGTACGAAGAAATCACTATAACATAATACTTAAATATTTAATTTTTTTGGCTTGGAAAGTGTAGTTTTGCTATTTTAATTTATATTATTTCGGTCAAGCAAATTTATTTTAATTTATTTTGTTGTTATTTAAATTTATTTTCGTTTTTTTTTAGTAAAAAAAATACTTATTTTTTACTTTTTTTTATCTTAAAAAAAAAATTTATTTTTACTTACTAATTGCTCGGTCAAATAGACATATATTTTAATGACATAGAGTATTATTTAAATATAAAGGATCTATTTTTTTTATAACATTTATGAATCCTATTATATATTACAAATACTTTTTATATATATATATACTTATTCGCATCAATATTTTACATTAACTTTACACATTACAAAAATAAAATAGTTTTTATATATTAAAACTATCACCCACTCTTATTATAATATACAATATTTATTAAATTTCATAAAAAAAAACAAACAAACAAATTAATAAATATATAATTTCCGAGTAGAATAAAAGAGTATTTGAATGAATATTGGTGTCTTGAATGGTCAACATTGGAGAAATCCTTAACACATTTTAGTTTAAATATTAAAAAAATATATATCAATTTTAGTCGAATACATTGATGTTGATGTAATGAGATCCGAAGTGGACCGAATACGTCCATATTCATAAAAATATGGCCGTGTTTGTAAGCAATAGGTTGACTGAACAAACACGGTCGTGTTCGAAATTTACACGACCATATAGAAATAGAAATTAGTTAATCTCTTTATGGCTTATTCTCTCTTTTTCTTTGATTTATTTTATTTTATTTTAAATTATTTGTGAATTAATGTAATAATATTGATGTAAATAAATGGATGTTTGAGGCTATTTTTATTTTTGTAGCAAGGTCTATATTTTTTAAAATAGAAAAGAAATATATAGTAATATCTTTGACTGATAAAAATAACAAAATATAATGATTGGGCCATGGGCCACGGGCCATAAGCAAATGCCACAACAAATTTCACATGTATTCTTAATGAACTTGTGCAATTGAATTAAGAGGGTGACATTAAGGTTTCGTTGTATCGAAGTTTTTAAGTTAAATATATATATATATATATTTCGATCATATCTAGAGATGACAATACATTGGAGTTAACCCGAGATCCAACTCGGACTCAACCCATTTGATTAAAAGTTGGTTCTAATTATTCAAGTATGGGTCGGGTATGATGTAAAGGTGGATCCACCCTTGATTTGGGTTCAACTCAATTAAGATATGAATGATATTTTAAATCACTTATATGTTTATAAATTAAAATGATCATGTATGTTATATTATATTGAGTTCTCTTGTTAATTAAATGAAGGAAATGAATGGAAGGGAAGGGCAAGCATGCATTCATTCCTTACAATTACAATATCAAGAAAAGTGGCATGCAGCAGTTTAATTTAATTAATTTCCAAGCACCAGCAGCAGTAAGTAAAAGCTGCCTCCCTCCCTCCCTGCCTGCCTGCCTGCCTGCCAGCCATTAATATTAACTACTATGTGTATATAGAAATACTAAATTTACCACTTGTGTAATAAAAATGGGAGTTTGGTACGTTGTCTCGTCTCCTGGGAATCCCAACAGAACAGAACAGAAGCAAAACGCAGCGACAATCTTTGAATGCATTCAATTTCCCAGAAAACCACGAAAGTCAGCTCAGCTCACTTAATTGATTTCATTTGATTCGATAATCCAGGAGGTGGTAGGTTACGTTGTTGCATACATGGTCATGGGCTAGCTAAGCTAGGGATTGTTGTTTTGGGGGTATCTCACTGCAGCTGCCAGCATTCTCTGCTGCTCAATCTGAGTATATATATATATATATATATATATAATGAATTATTATTTTTATTAATAAGAAAAAAAAAATAACATATATATTCAATCTGATCATATGGACCTGGAAGAGCTCGTGCAGCTTGTTCTTGAGGTAGCAGTACTCGCATTCAAGCGCCTCCAAAGCCCTCAAACACCTGAAACACGCGCCACCACTTTATAAATTAATAAATTAATTAATTAGCAATTGCAATAATAAGTCGACAGGACTAACCCGGTACGGTTGTTTAGGTCGGAAGCGGCGCGGAAGGCGAGGCAGACGGTACGGATGCGGTGGGCGCCGATGCTGGAGCTGCTCCCTATCAGCTGGTTCAAATGGCTCCCCATCTTCCTGTAGTCTGAGAATTCCTTCTCCGTCCTGTAATTTTATTATAATATACGATATATAAGCCTGGAGAAGGAAGGACGCGGCACGGCTTTTTTGTTTGTGTGTACGTGAAAAGCATGCAGCTTGCAGGAATTTATTAATAATTTATAAAAACCAGAAATGAATACACTACGTACGTACAGCAATTCTCTGAGGTTTCTGAGGAGCTTCTCGGACTCGTTGAAATAGATGTTGACAACCTCGGAGACAAAGTTGGGGGAGGATTCGTCTTGCAGCTGCTGCAGCTGCAGGAACTGCTCGTCCAACACTCCCTATTATTAATTATATATAAGTAAGTATATATATGAGATAGGATGACGATGACGATGACGATGATGATAGAGAGAGACCTGGTGGAAGAGCATTGCCAGGAGGCGATTCATGTCGGCCCGGAGGCGCTCGACGCTGAGGCCCAACATCCACAGAGGCAGACCCGTCTTGCCTTAATTGTCCAACCAGATTTACTGTTAATTTCTGAGGATGGAATGGATTCTCGATCAACTTGGAGTATAATTGCCAGTGACTGTGAGGTGAGTGAGTGAGGATATTTATAGAGGAGAGAGAGAGAGAGAGAGAGAGAAAGAGAGAATAAGACAAAATAGGGTGAATCAGTGAATGGCGAACAATGACTGTAGTGGCCACCCCATGTTTCATCATCAGTCATCAGATACATATAAAATATTACAAATATATATATATATATGTATGTATTACTGAGTGTAGAGTGTGATTTCAGGTCTGTCCCATGTTGGCTCCTATAACTACACTACACTGCACTCTGCAGCCTTTCTTGTTTTCTGCCTCATTCCTTTCCACTTTTTCACTAACTCGTGTTTGTGTTTACATAAAATTGCGATTTTTGTATATTTTTAAAATTCAACATAATTGTTTTTTGTAAAAAAAATATATATATTAATAATAGTATTTTTTTTTTTAATAATAACACGCAAAAGAATAAAGATATATATATATATATATTGTTTTGTTCAAGCCTCTTTTACTCTCTCTCTATATGTCTTTTTGCCTTGCATTCATATATTGGGACTTTAAATTTATTTGAAAATTAATTGTATCGTTGAAAGAAAGGTACTTAAAGGCGGAAAGGATGACAACTTTCTCCTTGGAAAAGCATGGGTGGATATGGATGCTCTAGAGTATAGAATGCAACCTAGCTGCAGGTGTTTTTATTTATTTACTTATATATGGCTAAATTATTATAAATACTTCCAACCTCTATATCTATCATTCCATTTTATTATTTCTCTCAATTGTCTATTATTATAAAATAATTATATTACTATAAAATTTATATTAATTTTTATTAAGGTGTGTTTCTCTGGTCAGTGTGTTTACATAATAATTCAGTCCAAAACTAGGCTGTTGGAGTTTGGGGATAAGTCTGACACCATTTTTTTTTAGTTTTTTAAAATTATAAATATAAAAAAATTATAATAATTATAATTCAACAAAATATATACAATGAATATATTATTTTGTGGAGAATAAATTTTTTTATAATCTAAATAAATAAAAATTTAGAAATATATATATATGTAGGTATAGTATAATTTATTAATCAAATTATACAAATTAATGCACATTTATATTATTATATTCATTCGTATCAAATCAATGCACATCAAAACTCTTCAAACTCAGCCCAAAGTTAACGAAAAAAGAAACTCGTAAATTCAAACTCATCTCAAAATTCAAAATAAAAACCAAACACAAACTCAAATTTCCCCGAACCTCCGACAAACACGCCCTAATTATTATTAGAATCCATAAATTTACATTCACATCTCTACACCACCACATTACCCCTACTTATTGCATAAACTCTTTTTTATTAGAATAAAGTCTGTAGAAGGAAAACAAGTCATCAATATTATATATATATATATTAACAAATAGACAATTATATTAAAATTTTTTGTAACAATATTTATTTGTATGCAATCTAAGGTTACTTGCCTAATATGCATGTATTTTGTAGAAAGTTGTATACAAAATTCACCTAATTTAATTTCTTATATAAATTTTGAGAGGGAAGTTGTCAATATTATCTATTTTAATTTATTTATTTTTTATTAATAGAAGGTTATACAACCAATTTAATAATTTTTTTATATTAAATTATTAATATATAAAGGCACAATGTTTAATTCGGAGTGTCGCTATTTTTTTTGACATAATATTAGTATTATCTTGAGTTGTAGTAAAAAAGATAAAAATATCCTTAATAGTATTGTATAATATAAAAGTATGACATTTGTATAATATAGTGTAAGTTGAAAAACTATTTATTACGTTAGATGAGTAATATAATTACCAAATTATGAAAAAATAACATTGTTTAAGAGCGGACGAAAATGACAAATATATTTTTATAAATAAATAAATAAAACAAATGTATATTTAATAGATAGGAAGATATTTTTCATAAAATACATAAATATAATAGCATACGTGTTATTATCTATTTATGTAAAAATATATGTAAACATTAATAATAGCTGCAAATACATTATTTGAGGATGATGAAGAATATTATACAAAAAGTGGAGCATTAGTTAATGTATTAATTAATTTCTCAACTTAGCTTAGCTTAGCTTAGCTTAGGTAGGCTGAGGGCAAAATTAAAATAAATTAATTAAATGGAAGGGTGAGTGTGTAGTGGTGTGTCCTCTGATTGAGTGTGGAAAGTGTGGGGGTACGGGTGGGGGGTGGGGTGGGGTGGGGGTGGGGGGCTGGGGTAGGGTTAAAATCGAGGTTAATGCGGGGAATCAACCGGACCATATTTTTCTCTACTTTCACCCACCCACCCACTACTCTCTCTCTATATAATGCCGTTGCGTCTGTGTACATATATAGTTGTGGCATGTGGTAAGGGTTTTACATTTACCTTAATAAAAACTTTTAAAATCGTATTTATTTTTAACAAAAAATTATAAACACAAGTTCTCATAATATATTAATATATTATATAAATTTATTATTTTATATTTCATACACAATTTTTCATACCTATGTCATCAAATACTCATTCAAATTATTTTATAAAACAAACACATATTTTCACCTAATTAAATATTTTATATATTTTAAAAAGAGAGATTTATATTTCCCTCGTCTCGTCACAAATGATCTTTTTTCTTTTTTAATATTTTCCACAAAAGATGACTCATTTTTATTTTTGGTAACTTTATCGATCTTAAACATACTTAACAAATATAAATCAATTTAATTAAACTTCTAACATCTTACATATTTAAATCCACTCAAAACCCATTTATTTCTATTTCTCTCTTCAATTAACATAATTTTTTTTTTATCTATATTTAAAACTCCTCATTTTTTATAAAACTAATTTATGATAATGATAAATAAATAAAAATATATTTTTTTTATTGATTGTATTATATAAAATTTTATTATCTACAAAATAATATCCATATTACATATATTTTTGAGATATAATCTTAAAATTTTTTCAAATACCAATAATATTATTCATATGAAAAATAATAAACTAATATTATAATTTATTATTAATAACTTACTAATTTACACTACCTAAAAAATTGTGTCTCTAATAAAATGATTCATCCCACGGGATGGAGGAGTATTATTTTATTATATTATATTTTTATGATATTTAATAAAAATAAAACTATGATTTTTTATTAACAATTTTTTAATAAAAGTACTTTGTAGATATTTTTAATTATTATTTGTATTGTGTGTAATTTCAATTAAAGCACATATAAAGTTAATAAAATTATAATATTTTAAGCAAAAATATAATTGAATTAATAGATATCAAATTAAATATTTTACGAAAATTATAAAAATCAATATATTTAAAAATTATAACTATTACATAAAAACTATAAATATTAAATAAAAATTTATACACCAAAATATAAATATAATTTTTTAAGAAAATAAACTATTAAATATTAATATATTATATAAAGATTAATATATATATATATATATTAAGGGTGTGTTTGGTAATTAGTTGTTAGTTGTTAGCTATTAACTTATTTGATTAGCCGTTAGTTGTTAGATGATTTAATTAGTTGATTTGTCTAGCTGATTCAATTAACGCTTTGTATTAAAGTGTTTGATAAAACAATGATTTGATATTGGTGGTTTATACTTAAAATGACAATTAAAGATATTTTGCATTTAATTTTTAAAATATTTAGTTGTGTTCTTCCTTATATAAAATTTTTTTAAAAATTTTTATTACTAAAATTAAAGGACAAACCTTGTTTAGTTGAAAGGGTATTTATTATGTTAAGTAGGTAGTACAATTACTAAATTAGGAAATGATAACCTTATTTTGAGACGGACGTAAATAGAAAATGGTAACCTTTCAATTGGACGAAGGGAGAAATTTAGTTGTGTTCTTCCGTATCAGAGGACAAAAATAATACTTAGAGTATACATAAAGTCCCACATTGCGAAAATACAAAAATAAGATAATTCCACGTCACCTGTCCGACGACTATGCGGGCGACAACATAGCAACGGAAACGTCCACATATACGCCGGCCATGCCACAAAGGCACCCGTGATGATCACGTGCGTCTTTCCGGCGCCGGAGGAAAAAAATAATACCGAAGTACACATAATATCCTAAATTGTGAAAGTAAAAAAATATTGTTCGAAAATTATAATTGAACCTACATATAGGGCATTTTATACAATTTTTCCTAAATAAATAAAAAAAAAATGTTTATCTAGCTGCAAAGACTCGCCAAAAGACCGCTCCCAAGTATGGTACGGTATTTTCTCTAATTTTTTTTTGGGTAAACTGTTTTTTTAGTCCCGTAACTTGACCCCTTTATCATTTTAGTCCTGTAAGTGAAGCCTGTCGCAAATTAGTCCCATAAGTGAAAAATTTTCGCTGTTTTAGTCATCCGGCGCCGGAGACGCCCGCATGGCTCGCCGGAGGTGACGTGTCCGCCAGGTGTCGCGCCAGGTCAGCGACACCTGGCGGACACGTGGATTTATTATTATTTTTTTTAATTGGACCAAATAAAAAAATACAAATAAAATGTAAAATAAATTAAAAATAAGTTTTAAAAAAAATAAAAAAAATAAATAAAAAAATCCACGTGTCCGCCAGGTCAGCGACACCTGGCGGACACGTCACCTCCGGCGAGCCACGCGGGCATCTCCGGCGCCGGAGGACTAAAACAACAAAATTTTTTTACTTATGGGACTAGTTTGCGACAGGCTCCACTTACGGGACTAAAATGATAAGAGGGTCCAGTTACGGGATTAAAAGAACAGTTTACCCTTTTTTTTTCCATTATATATATATATATATAAAATATGGCGATGTCCGTGTTGTGGGTGCCCTAAGAGCAATCATAATGGCTCTTGGGGAAAACTTTGAAATACTGATGTGTTAATAATTTTTTAAAATATGGATAAAAGATGGTAAAAAATTCCACAGCGACTTGTTTAATCATTCAAGTTTCTTATTGAAA